AGAGGGAGACAAGTTTTCCTATTTTATCTTATTTTGTTATATTTCTCCCTCTCCCCTCGCTGAAAGCTTCGGACCTCCCGCAGCCCACCTCCGCCTTGATTAAACGCTGAAAATAAAATAAAAGAGGGAGACAAGTTTTCCTATTTTATCTCATTTTGTTATATTTGTCCCTCTCCCCTTGCTGGAAGCCTCGGACCTCCCGCCGCCCGCTCCTGTCTCAAACACGGAGATCTCCCTCTCTGCAGAGCACCCACAGCGCATGCCCAGCCTGTTAAATAGCCTGTAACCATAACAACTGTGTGACACAAACTCAGTGCTTTAGTAATTAAATAATGTCGGGCTCAGTTCGGTTTCGGACATAACAAAACAGAATGACTGTCGGGTTCGGAAAGGAAAACCAGACATTATCATCAATTTATAAACACCCCTCGGACGCCCCGGACAGGACGTGAAAAGTGGACACGTCCGGGCAAAAGAGGACGTTTGGTCAGCCTACCCTATTTCCAGTCTCTTGCTAAGCTAAGCTAAGCTAAGAGCCCTCTGGCTGAAGCCTCATATGTAACATACTAATATGACAGGAAACAATCTTCTCATCTGTTTTTTGGCAACATAGTGAATACACACCAGACACCCCCAGTCAACTCATACACATGTCATAGGGCCGTTGTTCCCAGCTGGTCCGGCCACAAGGTCCAAATTTCTCCTTAGTCATTAGTGTAAGGTTCACACAGTTTAATACAGCATCACACTTGTGTTTTGCCATGACGTTGAGCTAGTGGAGTCGCTTGCAGTGCATTCTGAATGGACCTGTGACCCACTTTGGAATGTGACCCTCCAGTTGGGAGCCACTGTCACAGGGTGCACATGTGGCACGAGCACACATTCAAGGATCAGACTGGTGACAGGCTGGATATGAACTTATTTATCTTCATTTAAAAATACTAAAATGCAAAAGGGGGCTTAACAGGGGCTACAAAGATTCGTAACATGGTTATAGCACCATCTAGCCCCAGTGTGACGTCATGCCTGGACGTTTGTTAACTTTGACATTTTGGGAAAAGCTTAATTGCTCTTTAACTAAGAGGTAGATGACAAGTTTGATACTACTGTAACGTTTGAGAGCAGTATCAAAGCAGCTCACGATCCAACTTAATGAAGAGAAAGGTAGAGCAAAATTTGCAGAGGTTGTTGTTGAATCACGCACATTTACAGACAGGCCTGGGGGGTAAAACTTTCTCTGAACAGAGGCTTGTCTACTGCCTGTGACTGCATATTATATGCCTTTGTGCTGGTAGCCTGGAAGCCTTCCTTAGGCCTTTGTATTTTGGCATAGACAGATGTATTGTATTAACACCCGGGCATGGCAATTTATCAGGTTCTTTGTTGTCTGGCATGTTGAAACAATTAGCCAATTAATTTTCAGGATGCTGCTTTTCTGTCCTCCTTTGTGTAAAAAACGCAATACACAAGGGTGTAAAAAAGTCTGCCTGGACTAAAATGTTTCTTAAAGGATCGGGCTGGTTATATTCTATATCCATTGCTACTGTCATGGATTTGCCTAACAAAATGTAGCGGGTAGAAATATAAAGTGTCATAAAATGGAAAATAATAATGAGTAAAGTACAAAACTTGTGCAGTTACACACTGTCCATCACTGAAGACAGGTCATTTTGGTCTTTTCTCTGTCTGTCTTTTCAGTACAGGTACACTGTGGTTATTATTCTTGCTCACCTGTAATAAAAAGGTTCACACCAATCAGACTTTGTAGATTGGACCAGTACAAAGTAGCTCATCCCTCCAAGCTGTCCTGTCACACCGTCACTGATTTGCACTACCAAGATTAATCTGGTAGTTTTTAATAAGGATATACGGGCAGAAAATTGATCATTCAACACAGTGGGACCAGACTACTGCCAGAAAAACAGGTGACCACACAGAAGAGAAAAGTGTTTAAGCAATGTGATGTAACAAAGATGTAGGTTCAAGAGAATGAAAGACAAAGAGTGTTTTGTATCTCTTATTGCTCACACACTGTTTCAGTCTTAATGATGCTCTTGTGATTTACAGGGTCGGCCTGCTGATTCTGAGAAAGTCCGGACACTGGACCTCCACCAGACCTTTCAAGGAAGCTGATAACTATCAGTTTTTAGGCCGGAATGAAGTTCACAGTGAAGGATTGGTCAAAAATGTCTTCCTGAATGCTGAGCTAAGGTCACAACAACATTATGTTATCACTGGCTTCACCTCAGCTTGAGTGCAGGAAGTTAGTCACAGATCAGCACACCGATTCTAAGAGGTACGATGAATATGATTCCAGCAAGAGACGAAAAAACTGTGATTTTCAAAATATTTTCTGTCACAAGTTGTGATTGCTTTTTCCTTCAGTTTGTTAAAGAAAGATGAAAACTCATATTTAAATACAACATCCCCATTGCCGGAGGGGTATGTCTTTATCTCTCATTCCAAAGGCAAAAATTACTATTCTGTTTGAAGTAGCGCATGATGATCTGATGACTCAACTACTACTCAGTACAGGCTGTTAAAATTTATTGAAGTGGATTGGCTGTCTTTCCAGGAGCCCTGAGGAGTCAGATCTAGTCAAGAAAGAGTTTCCTTTTACACTCCAAATGAAAGGAAAGAAAAAGTATTCACACAAACACACATACACTAGAAAATACCATTTTATCATTCCCTCCAAATATTACTCAAAATTAGACTGTAGTGAATTTCAATTTTTCCGTAAATCTGGTCCTTTTTAACTTCAAGTCACTTTCCAATTTTTACCAGCAACCTTTTAATTATGGAGCTGTGGAGACTGAGGTGGATCATCTCCGTATTCTTCACCTTACGTCTACAGCTGTGCTAGCAGCTCTGTGGGGCTGTACTGAGGCATAGCAGAGCTATTTTTTAAATAAACTTTTAAATGAATTGATTCTGGTGGCACCTGCCTCTCGACTTTAAGAAGAGTAGCTAAGAAATAAATACACTGCTCAAAAAATGAAGGGAACACATAATGGTCACAGTATAACACCAAGTCAAATACACTTCTGGGATATCAATGTGTCCATTCAGAAAGCACAAGTGATTGTGAATCAGTTTCTCCTGCTTTGGTGGAGACTTTTGTGTGAGGAGGAACAGGAGGAGCACTGCCAGAGCCCTACAAAATGACCTCCGGCAGGCTACTGGTGTGCATGTTTCTGACCAAACTGTCAGAAACAGACTCCACCAGGGTGGCATGATGGCCTGACGTCCTCTAGTGGGACCTGTGCTCACAGCCCAGCACCATGCATTGGCATTCACCAGAGAACACCAGAATTGGCAGGTCTGCCATTGGTGCCCTGTTCTCTTCATAGATGAGAGCAGGTTCACACTGAGCACATGGGACAGGTGTAATGAACCTTATGCTGCCTGTAACATCCAGCATGACTTGTTTGGCGATGGGTCAGTGATGGTATGGTCTGGTCCTTTGACATTCAAACTTGGCCTCTCCTCCCCACACAGCTTCTGTACTGCAAGCTAACATTGTAAGAATTGACAATAAAGCTGACTTTGACTTTGAAGAATATTGATTTAGTTTTAATGAAAAAGCCAATATTTTAGCAAGCTAGCTGCACCTACCTGTCCAACAAAAAAACAGGCCAACTTCGCATTGCTCTTCATCCCCATCCCCATTGTCTCCTTCAGTGAGACGTGCAGCTGCAGCCACATGCGATTTGAAGCCTACACGACATGCCCTTACAAACTGCGCCCACCAACCGTACAAGATAAATCCACCAACACTACGGTTTTATGAATCCTGTTACAATGCGACATTGTACTGAATAAATTAGGCCAAACAAAGGAATAATCCACTTTATACACCAAGATGTGATTCACCTTATAAGTAACAAGATATACCCCTTACCCTTATACCCTAACCCTGACTTTAACCACCTCTCTTTTAACCCTAACACTTCATAGCAAGCTAAACATTATCTTAGCACTTTCTTCAAGGCTTCTGCCTCTGGACCAAGTACTGAAGGGGGCTGATCATGTAGGTATGGTGGGCAAGTCATGTAGCTGGTGTGGGTGGTCTCCAGCTAGAGCTATACCTACTCACCTTCAGCGAAAGTTAAAGTGAAAGTCAACTCCAGATTCACTCTCGCTTTTGGAACAAGCTTTATCCGATTGGCATTTCAATTCTCGCTATATTTCCACTTCTTCTGCACTGTGTCCGAGAATTTTTCTAGCGGTCTCTTGGATACATGTCCCTTACTGTCTAGCACCTTGTCCTACCTTTTTATAAAGTCCAGACCTCACTTGCTCCCTGTTATTTGCTTGGGGCTATACGCCCACAAACTTCCTAAACACAAAATACAAAGAAAGTAAGAAGAGTGTAGAGTCTCTGCAGAAACACCACCACACACTTCTAGAGGGTCATAAGCTATGATAGAGGAGGATTACTTTTTTGTGAGTCTTTACATTGTTCTTGAGGAAAATCCTACGTAGTATACCTTTCAAGACTGAAGAAGGGGAAGAAACATACAGTAATCTCTTAAATACACCCACTTCTTTCTCTCCTCCCCTCTCTCTCTGTTCTTCAATGAGTGCCACTCTGCTCTGCTCAGACCCAGAGGCAGACCTTCACATGTAAAGTAAAGCTGTGTGGATCTTGGACTCATTGCTCAACTATGCAGTAGAGAGGAGGATTAGTTCAAGCTGAGCACCGGTGCAAGGATTTGGCATTTGGCCATTTATCCATCATTTCGCGGGCCGAGACACTACCATACTCTTTGTCTCTCTTCATCTGAATCTTCTCTTCACTCCCTTGTCATTCTCCCTCTCCTTCTCCCTTTCTCCACCCACCCCTCTCTACCCTCTCTCTACCATGACCCTTTTATCAGAGGACCAGTCTGCAAGGCCCCAACCCTGCCGGCTCCCTGAGCCTGGCAAACACATCACCACTTCTTTGTACCCAACAGACTTTACAGGCTCCAAAGAGGACTACATGGACAGTGGGGAAGGTGCTGTGTTCGGAGCAGTGGAGCCCCCCAGGCGCTCACGGGGCCGCCTTATCCTCCATGGCATGGTCATGTTTGGAAGGGAATTCTGCTACGCGGTGGAGGCAGCGTTCGTCACACCGGTACTTCTGAGCGTGGGCCTGCCCCGCAGCCTGTACAGCTTGGTGTGGCTGATAAGCCCCATCCTGGGCTTTCTGCTCCAGCCCATCATCGGCTCGGCCAGCGACTACTGCCGCTCATCATGGGGCCGACGGAGGCCTTACATCCTGACCCTTGGTGTCCTTATGCTGCTGGGAATCACCCTGTTTCTGAATGGAGATGCTGTCATCTCAGGTGAGGGATGGGCGGGAGGATTTGAGAAAGGGGATACGTGAAGGAGAGTCAGACAGTGAGAGGGGGAGATACGGATGTATTTTTAGTCTTGTCACATCAGAAAGTGAATCCCTGTTCTGGGGACATCTGTGCCTTTGATTCAGAAGGAATAAAAGAGAATGAATAATCAGCTCTCTCCATCAGAGAAACACTAATATTGTAAAGCAAACTATTGGAATCTGACATCACCTTGAACTCGTAACTAATGCGTACTCATGCTTGGAAATACGCAGAGGAATAATCGTGACTCATCTCGTAAAACCTAGCATATGAAAGGCAAACATAAGGTTGTATCTTATTGTTTCTAGATATGAGCACTAACTTCCATTTTTTTAGGAATGTCTTTGTTGTCCCTCAAAGAACATCAGCTGTCACCTGCCATATATGCTTATGGTATAATTAGATTATTCTCACCCTGGTATACTGATTAGAACTTTAATTTTTTACTGTCAAAGCTTTCTCTTATCTCTTGGGCTTTTGCAGACTCAGGCTCCAAACTGTATCAGTATCTGCTCACTCAAGCATTTTTGGAAGAAAGTGACACATCAATCAAGAAAGTTTTAACATCTTAAATCTGTAGGCGTAAGGTCCTGAGAGGCTCACATTCTTAACTTGTGACTGAAGTTAAACATGTACCTTGTTAGGGTGGTCCTGCGCCAGTGCCCGCTGGCAAAGACAGGTGACAAGTCATGACTGAGAATCTCACTGCACATTTTGTTTGAAAGAGTAAAACTACTGATAACATTTAAACAACCCGGAGTGTTTCCTGAGAATCCGGCAGGCAGCATCACGAGCAGTTTCTCCTCACAGAAGAATCTATGACCTTTGGAGCCACATGCACTGATTCACTGCTGAGCGTTACAGTGCTGCTGTATTGTTCCTCACTGAATAGGATCAGTGTGGGGGTTAAATGCATATTCACTGATAGTTTCACTCACTCTGATATTCACAGTTGGCCCTGGAAAACTGTTAATGATGGAGCTTCATCCTCAATACCTTAATCATATCTTTTGATTGGAGGCTAATTAGAGTAATTATCATGACTACTGCAGAAATTGCTACAGTCTGCTGTGCATTTTAGCAAATACTCACTCAGCAAACACAATACACCAGTAAAGTTTGAGGGAATGTTTGCTACCCTGGGCTGACGGGTCTCTTTTTTGATGAAACATACAATTTAACAAGAGAAATAGCAACACAGTATGTATGTATATTAGCTGGGGCTCAAAGTGCAGGATCCTTATTTCAAATCTGGAGCTGAGGTCAAAGGAAAATCAAAATCAGCTTGTTTGAAGTCATTTTTCTTTGTTGAACACTGTGATTGTTGATTGTGTTTCTTTTAAAAAGGCTCTGGGCTTTATTATAATCATCATACTCACTATGAAGTATTCTTTCTTCCTAAGCACGCAGGATAAGCTGATTACCTTTCCACATTTCTCAGGGTTGTAGTGAATGCCACAGGAATATGTATTACATAATGTTTGCATTGTTGTAACCACCCTCGGTCTAATATTTATGGTGAATTGTGCTCTCAATTTTAAATGGTTTTTTTTTTTGTTTTTTTGACTTAATAGCTGCAGAAAAGTTAGTTTAGTGTAATGTTCTGTTCATGTAAAATGTAAAATCCAGTTTGTTACCTTTAAATCACATGTGTTTTGCTCATAATATCTTTTCATTCCCTTTGAAGAGAGCACAAAACAAGACTGGGTTTTATGATCAAACAGCCAGGTTTAAAGTAAAATTGTTACCTGTCAGACATAATTGGTTTTCATGGAAAAACAAAGTTTCTCATTGTTTTCATTTTTTGACAAGCTCCAAGTGTGCTGTTGCTGTGGGATTTGTCTTTTTGACACTTTAAGTAAAGTAAAGAAGGTACAATCGAGAGTGTAGGTTTCGTTTCAACATTTCTGGGGACACATCTGAAAGTGGGGGTTTGGGGTCCTTCTTCTTTTGAGCATCAAACAAATATTTCCTGCATTCTAGTGATTTTTAGGCATCAGTTTTCACCTTTTCTGCATCAATGTGTGGTGGAAATGCCTTTATTTATCTTTTTGCTCATGTTTTTATTGAGGGAGGAAAACTGCACATATTCTAAATACTGAGGGGGTGGTGTCCACTGCTTCCCCCCCAAAATCTATGCCTATGGGTACTATTATGTTGTTCTTTTTATCATTGGCTGCAGTGTCTGATGAGTGATGAGGTGTTTTTGTTCTGTTCTGCAGCACTGGTCATCGACAGGTCGGTGAGAAGTATATGGGCCATAGTCTTGGTGATGTTTGGAGTCGTGCTGTTTGATTTCGCTGCAGACTTCATCGACGGGCCCATCAAGGCCTACCTGTTTGATGTGTGTTCACATCAAGACAAGGAAAGAGGTCTGCACTACCATGCTCTACTCACAGGTTTGTAATTCTGACAAGCACATAAACACACACACACACACACACACACACACACACACACTGCTGTTGAATTTGCTCCAATATAGTCCTTATTTCTGTCATAAAACTGTCCTTGCTGGCTGTTTCTAGTGTGTATCTTGATGGATTTGCTTTTAATGAGAGTTTTGGCAGCAATAGCTCACATAACACATACCAGTGCTGTGTGGCAGTGATCTAAACTGGATCTGGTCACTGGTGTGATACTAGTGGGTGAAGCAGCACACACTGAACTGTGTTGCTATCTGTGTGTTGTTTGCACGTTCAGCAAAACTGAATGTCTGTCTTTTGATAAGTGTGTATGTAAAAATGTTTTAATGAGACTTCCTTGCCCAGTGTTAGATGAGAAGATAAATATCATGGAGATGATTATCATGGAGCTTTGCATAAAGACTGGAAACAGTTCATCTGTCTCCATCCATATTTAAAGAAATCTGCCTACGAGCATCTTTAAAGTGCACTCATTAACAAATTGTTGCTTGTTTGTTTAAAAATCAGCATATATAATGACAGATTGTTGTTCTGCGTGGGGGCTATGTGCCAGACTGTTTACTGGACTTTTTCCTGCTGGGTGCCTAGCAACCTCACGCTGATGAGAAGACTCAAAGTCTCACTTCAAGTGTAACTTCTGTGGCTGTGTCTTAAATCAGTACTTATTGAAGACATAATGCACCTTATTTACTGTCCACCATTTTATTTGAGTGCCCAAGAGTGTGGAAACATAAGATAAGGAAATATAAAGTAGTAGTCCTGTTAATAAATATATTTTAGTGTGTTTTAGCTTAGTTTTATGACATACAACCTGAATTGTTTTGGTTTACTCTCACTGCTCTCATCAGTGTTGTTTTTCAGTTGCAGCAGGCAGCTGTTTTCAGCCAAAAACGCTCTGCACACAACCTGCTCAGCACTAGGGATGCACGATCATATCAGCACATCATCGGTATTAGACAATATTGGCTTTAAAATCAGAATCGGCCAACATGCTTTTTTTTATTTTGCACAATGAATGAATTTTAGATACATTGAAGAGCACTGTATTTCATGTCTCCATCTGCTGATGGACGATCACGAGAAGAATATGCATGCATAATATTATGTTAATTCCTCTACAGAAGAGTGGATATATCAATATCAGTTATCAGTCAAATGAGTTGTTACACATCTGCATATCGAATATGAGCAAAAAATCCAATATCCTGCATACCTACTTAGCCCCACACTACAGGCAAACACAGTTGGAAACTAGCTGGTCAACACAGTGGAGCATTTAGCTGCTAAAAACTGTTGGTAGACACTAAAAGAGAGTGACTATTGGGCTTACATTCATCAGATGAACATAAACATGACTCCAAATGAAGGGTGGTGTTGCTCCATTTCAGCTGAATGTGTAAATTAGCAGTGTTGCGTCCCATTATGCCAATGCATATTTACCTTGGTGCAAAATTTCGGTAGTTGTGACACTAAATGTTATCCAAAAGATCTTAAATCTTAAAATATAACCAGATTAAAAATAAAAAAGCACACATCCGAATGAACACACAGACAAATCTTGATAATTGTTTCATTAATTCATCACTGATATCCTGCCAATACAATGTCCCCATGTGAAAAATATCCCCTTTTTGGTTTTATCCGCTTATAATGCAACCAAATGCTTCCTTCTTTTATAACTCTCTTGGGGAATTACAGACTAAGTTTCATGTGGCACTCTTTTTTCTCTCTGAGGGATTTGTGAGTGTTTGAACATAGTGTTTCAGGTCAGAGCGAGACATCTTTCATTGCCGTTCCAAAACGTCTGATTGTATGTTCCTTGGACACTCTGACACAGATGTGCTTTCATGTTTTGTAACGTTTTGTTGATGGATAAACCAATTTGCACTTCACCTTCAGATCACCAAGATTTTGCTCAATGGATGAATATATTCGCCACTTGTACTGTCATGGTGGCAAGTTTAGACGTAGTTAAGTGTCTCTGAAGTTCACAATCGTACTTTACTAAACTTTTTAAAGGGAGAATCAAGAGTGCTACCAGGCTGCAGGAGCATCTTCCACATACAGGTTTGACAATGGTTAGGGTTACACAGCTGAAGATAGCATCCTTTACTACCTTATACAGCATACATGAGAGATATACAGTATTTAGGTATCATTTTTCTTTCAAACCTAATCTGTAAACCACCGTAACCTTACAAAATATGTTCATAATGAGTCTAATAATATACAGGATTAAGCAAATATTCTTTTTAAGCACTGCCATGGGGGGAGATGATGTTTTGGGTGTGAGCATCAGTGGTGCACTCAGCTGTCAGCAGGCACGGGGTGGTGTGAGCACGCTAGTCCCGCAGTAATCCAGCCCTGAGCTAGTCATGTGCTGCAGTCATGGGTCTGGGCTGAGAGAGACAGAGGCCAGGCACATGACTTCCTAGACGCCCCTGCCACCACTGGTATGTGAGGTTTGAGGAGGAGGGAGTCGAGGGGATTGTTGTGTGGTTCTCTGTGGTTCATGTTCCTTTCTGGGTGAGCTTTCTAATCATATACTCTGACCTAGGGGTGTTGCGATATACTGGTATTGACGATAATCGTTTAGAAATGAAATATTAATATCATGTTTATAATAACTCATGATGATATTGTGTAAATAATCCAGCGCCTCTTAAATTTTGTTTCTTTCATTATCACATTGTCTCTGTCTCCTAACACCTTCTGGTTGCCTCTTCACATCCATTAAAGGAGCAGTTCATAGGATTTAGTGGCATCTAGTGGTGAGGATTGCAGATTACAACCAACTGAAACTTCTTCTATGTGCCAAGATTTATTCCCAGTTTGGATTCCTTCAGTGTTTATTGTTTAGGAGGTTCTTACCATGAGCGGAATTATCCACAGGGGTCTCCTCTTCTCCAAAACAAACACATCCGCTGATTTAAACCAATAAAAATACTCAATACAGCAGTTTCACGCTAAAATTTGCATTTCTTCAACGCTGCTCTACTCATTGCGGAGGGGCTGCTAACTATGGAGGCCAATACGATAACATGAGTGGCCCTTTCTAGAGCTAGTGTTTGGCTTGTCTGTTCTAGGCCTCTGTAGACACATGGCAGTGCAACATGGCAGAATTTGTGGATGAGGACCCGTACCTATGTTGATATAAATGTGTCATTCTAAGGTAACAAAAACACAGCGATTCTTGTTGTGTTTGTTTTTTTAGGAAGAAAAAATACAGTTTTGTACAGTTGTGTTTTCAGACTCTCTCTTCACCTCCCTACACTCATATTTTGAGCATAATTCATATGCCAAAAAAAGAAAATTAAAATGAAAACAAAAGTTGAATTGTTGAAAGGTGGGTGTGTCACAGCAGTGAGGCCCCGGCAGTGTAACGCCAAGGGGATAGTGGTATCCATCAGGGACAGAGAGATGAAGCCCAGTGTATGCTCCATGTAACATCAGTTGCTAAAACAGTCCACTGTAAAATACCTTGCACATAATGTGAATTTAAAAAAGTGAATAAATTCTAGCCCACGGCCCATAACCACAGCATTTTGGGGAAACAAAGACCTACCAACACCACGCTTTTGCTGGATGTTAGGGCTGGGAACCATTAGAGGCCCCGTCCAGTCACAATACAATATGAATTCCATTTTAAACATGTTGCAATATGCTGAGTATTGAGATAAAATATATTGCTATATATTGTGACAAATTATTACAAATTGTGTCCCCAAAGGAAAACTTTGTCGACACCTGTTTTATCAGAGATAATTAAATAAAGTGTTCAGTCTGTTTGTCTCACTTCAGTTTTAATGCAGCAAAATGTATGTATTGGACTGAAAAAGCAATTGATTATATTATTCTAGTAGGCTACCAAAAGTTTAATTTGTATTTGTAATATTAATAATTTCTGTAATAGATAAATAGATATGTGGCGTCAATGTAATGATACGATGTTATGCTGTATCAATTTTTCTCCCTCCTCTGATATTATTGGTTGAAATTGTTTGGAACTGTCTTATGTAAGCACGTCATATTTTGTTTCACAGAGAGAAAACAGATTGAATTTTGATTTTAGAATACTAACAAATTATAATAGTAGTAGTAGTAGATGTATTTTGCATGTGTTGTTAAATAGGTGCACACAATGTCCAGCAATGTGATCTAAAATAATCAAAAAGCATTTTTCATTTCATCTCGACTTTACACTTTTTTTTAGCTGTGTGGCTCTATGGATGGCAATGTAGGTCTGTCAGTTGGTGGATCAATCGATCAGTCAGCCACTTTGGTTCAAACAGAAATATTTCAACATCTATTGATTAGGTTTGCCTTGAAATTTGGTGCAGACATTCATGGCGCTAAGAGGATGAAGCCCATGACTTTGACGATCCCCTACCATTTCATCTTGTGAGTAGCTTATACATTTGCAAACATTGTGGAAATAAGCAACCTTCCCTCCCTCCAACATAACATGAGCCAAGTAGCACTTTTGTTTGCTTATGTATCCCGGAGGCCAAGGACATACTGTAGATAAGAGAGAAATCCCAGTACAGTACAATATTGATTTTCTCCTGCATGATAATGTAACTACAGCTTTTTTCACATCGCTAGCCAGCCCCCCGTCCCCTGGAAATGAACAGGGTTGAACTTTAGGGGGTCTTAATCAGACAGTTCGTTTAGATTGAGTGTCAAAGATGTCTGTACATGTACTAAATACCTCTTCACTAAACTGAAATGGTGTATCACAGCCTCACAGTTCTGCTTGCAGGGCTTTACACCCTTGTTTGCAATAAAGACAAACTTTTGAAATTTGTCATTTAGGTTACTCCCATTAATGTACGCAGACTATTTAGGCCTCCCTCTGTGAGCTTGTGCATCCTCCCAAAAAACAACTTTGTCATCTATAATGTGAAACTGCTTCAGTTTAATAGATATCAGATATCCCATTTGAAGTGCACCTTGCTCACATTAAACATCATCCTGTTACATTTCAATCTCTCTGTGTATATTTTTGGCACCGGCCACAGTTGAGCCACAGCGATATTTCTGCTTTGTTCTTTCAAACTGTGCTTAAAAACAAGTTACTGCTGTGGCACAAACACACCTGAGGTGACATAAATGGCACAGAAGGAAAAGGGGAGAACAGTCTTGAATCAGAGAGGAGTGATTGATGGAGCACACAAACAGCGATGCTTGAGTAATGCAGACACACATTAAGTGTGACTCCTGAAGTGGTTATTACTTTACCTGCCAGCTGTTTAATGTAGAAAAATAGCCTCCATTTCAGGTAACCAACAGTGAAAAGCTTTTATGTCTGTTTTGGGAGCCAGAGTCAGTCAGTCCGTCACTCAACCAACCAAGTACATTTTTTTTTATTTAATCGTTTGCTTTTTTCTTTTACAATACGTTTAATGATTAACATGTTCCAGTTTAATACCTGACTAGTAATATCTGAGTATATAAGTATTACCCTCCTTGATACACAGTGCCATTTCAATGGCTTTCAACCAATAAAGCTTTAAAAAGAACATTGTACACTATAGCGTTGTCACAATACTGGAATTTCTAACTTCAATACAGTAACAATCAAAACCATTTTCAATTACACGGGGAAAAATTGACATTGAGGGCAAAAAACCTTTCTTTTTAATTTAAAAGATAACTATAACAAGCTATAACATGACAACACCTTTTTTTCATGGTCAGTGGCAGAGAACAGTAGATTGACTGTAGCAAACATCAACAATATGAGAGCACGAGAAAGCCTTGGGTGGATTATAGGACAACAGGCGCCTGTGCACAGATATACAAAGGGCTCCACCACCTTTCCTACATTGGAGCAAGACACAGAATTTGTGATGGTTTTGAGTTTCTTTGTAGTTGGTATGCATCTTTTTGTTGTGTCTCCTTGTGGTTGTGTTGTGTCTCTTTGAGGTAATTTTGTGCTTTTTTGTTGTTGTTTTGTTTCTCTTTGTGGTCATTTTGAGTCTCCCCCTAATCGGTACGTGTTAATTTGACATTTGACAATTTGCAAGTGAAGGCCAGGGGGCCTCCTTGACACTTTGGGCCCTCGGCCTGTGCCCCATAGACCTGCTCAGTAATCCATCCATGAACAAAGCGATAGCACGGAAAAGTTAAAATTAATATTGCTATCCCTTTGACACATCTTAGTCAACCCTCGCAGCAGCTTCCTGTAGTGATGGAAAAATAACGACACCACTGTGCTTTTGAATGGCTCATTTCACTTTAAAAAACTCCCAGACGCCTCAGTTGACAAGTTGAAAGTAACACACACCTTGTGTCAAACAGAATTTAAATACCAGTGAAGTACTTTCAGTTTGAGCTTCCACCTACGAGCTTAGCATGCAGGTGCAGCTCATCAGACTTGCTGTCAACAGGCATCACCAAACCAGCAAAGCATGATTTTAGAGTGCGCCAAGTGCCCCAGACCTGTAGATGTAACTACATCAAAGAAGTTAACCACAGCACTTGCTAAACTGGTGGCAACTGACTAGTCAACATCACAGAATACTCAGGTCTAAGGGACATCCTCAGGTTGGCATGTTGTCATGGTTTCAAGACCTCACTGTTGTCGCACTGCAGCACTGATTTGAAGAAATAAATTTAAAAGTGAAGATCATAAAGTACATTTCTTTGCATTTATTTGATTCCCAATTAAGACACTCTGGTATTGTAACTTGGAATTGCTTTACCTTGTTAATATGGAATTCAAAACTGTTTTGAAATGCAAAATAATGGAATTTTTTAAACATGCAATTAATCGCGAATAACTATTGAAATTCAGCGATTAATCACGGTTTTAAAAATTGAGCATAGCGTTAGTTCAGGCAGGATACGATGTCAGGCTCAGCTCACATCCCAGCTACATCAGCTGATCTCAAACAGCCCAATCAACTGATGGAGCAGCTGACTGATGGAAGGGAGTCAGCTGATAGATCACATGATTCGTTTCTATGCAACCAATTGAAGAATCTCAATCAGGGTGCCCTATTTAAACTGCTCCGGCCTGCCAACTGTTGCTGCTTCCTCAGCAAGCCACTTTGCAACCTGCCTCCACCCCAGCTTCACCTTTTCATGCTGTGTCTGACTTATCATTGTCATTTCTGTTTGTCAGTGATGCTGCTCTGTTCCTAAGGGAATCTTTGCTGCTGCTGACTAACTGACTAAAGTGTTCCTGACTGCACTGTATCATTTGACAGCCCTGGAAAAAAAGCAACTGTTTTTCAACAAGTTTGCCATATTTACTTTATAGATCTTCTGTCCTTTTGTGGCCAAAAAAATCAGTTATTGCAGGTTTAACCACTTTAGCACCCACAGCTCTCTCAAAGGGACATAAATATGCTGGAGGGTTCTAGTATAATTTGAGGGTGTATGGTACTTTCAAACAACTGCACTTCTTTGCCTAGTGTGTTTTTACCTTTGCTGCTGTGTATTTCAGGTCTGGGTGGAGCATTTGGCTACCTGGTGGGAGCCATGGACTGGGGCCACTCAATAATGGGTCAGCTGCTGGGCTCCGAGTACCAAGTCATCTATTTCTTCTCAGCATTGACCTGGAGCATCTTCCTCACTGTGCATCTCTTCAGCATCCCAGAGCAACCCCTTGGCAAGGATCCGTCCACATTTGACCCCTCACCTCCCAGTGCCCTTCGTCTACTGGGTTCCCACAGCAATGGATATGGCGCACTGGCTAATAAAGAGCCAGTCTCACCTGTAGTTCCAGCATCTGTTCCAGACCTCAGGCCTAGGTCATTCTCTGCTCTTGGGGAGGCCAATTCAGTGACCTCCAGTGCTAAGCAGCCAAACAAGGAGGTATGTGGTGTGCAGGATACATGTGGTAAAATAATGTGGAATACTGATTTGATTTATGTATCCATTCATGCTCATGTTCACAGGGAGAATTTAATGTAGCTATTTAGAGAAAATGGATTTGTAATCTAATCCTAATATCAGTTCTATTGGAAACAAAGTGGTGGTGAAAGATAGAAAGTTGCCTTTATTGAAACTTATGAAACATTGTAAACATGGTTTATATATTTTAACATAAAAGGTTTGAGTGGTTTGGCTGGCAGCAGCAGACGCTGAAAGGTAAAGTGTTCATGCTGAATAACAGAGCACATTGTCTTAATTGATTCTGAACTAATTTTAGTCTGTCTGTAGGAGGAGATTCCTGTTTAAAAGATAAGGATAGAAGCTGCTTAAGGGAATACTTCACCCCCAAATCACCCCCAAATTTGTATATCAGTTACTCACACTCTGTCATGTTGAATTTGTGATGAAAACCTGGATTTTCTCTCGTGCCTCTACAGTGGACTAAAAGTCCCAAAATGGAGAAAACTTGGAATTAAGAGAGCCTGGTCTCACTCTGAAGTTATCAAAATCTGGCGCTTGGGCAGTGACTTGCAGCGTCAGAAACCAACAGAAAAAGGCATCCTTTAATTTCAGCATGATATATGGCTGGTTGCCGCTAAAGTTTAATGGCGCCCAGTGGTGTAAGGGGGAAACGTGACAGGACAAGGACAAAAGAAGGTGGCAAAAGTCCAACTAGGGTGGGCAGGAGGGGTGGTGGATCAGTCTAACAAACACCGACTTTCACCCAAGAGAGCGGTGTTTGCATCCTGTAAGATTCTAGAGCCAAACCCTCTGTTCTTTTTTCCTAAACCTAACCATGTGTTTTTGTTGTTGGAGGGGAAAAAAAAATCAAAATCAAAGAAAAATCAAAGTCAAAGTCTCAATATCGAAGTCTCATTTATCCAGTCCTTTGCTCAGTGCTTCCTGAACAGACAACCCTTTCCGATGGGGAACTGATCTGAAAGTAAAACTTATGTTTGCAGTCTTTAATGCCAGACTCAATTGACAAAAACAGTAATTTTACCTCACTGAACACGGGAGCTGCTGGTCTACCGCTGCCTTGATCAGTTAGATTGTTTGTATTATTGTCTGATTTGACTTTATTTTTGTATGCGTTCAAATTTCACAACCTTATCAAAACCAGCCTGTTGTCCGCTGTAAATTACAGTAAAACGTACACCAGGTGAACACTACTCTCCCTCAAGCACTCGGCCAGTCCCTTACAGGAATATTCATAAGTCAATATTCCCGATGGTGCTCTGGTTCAAATAGTTAATTAGGCCATGCTCTGCAGAGGAAACTCTTCAAACAACCTTATGAGGATGAGTTTAATGTGAATATGTCCTGCGTAACATAAAATGTCCATGTGAAATCCTTCTCTATATTATGTACTGAGTATTGATGAATCTTCTCTGAAACTCTGAACATCAATCCAGCCTTCAGGCCCCTCTAGCTGAGTCTCTGTTTAATGTTTCTTGATGAGAAGAAAAGGGATCTGTCAGCAGAGTTTGTATCATCTTCTTTTTAAAACTCACTTTTGTAGCCTCGCTTTGATGTTTGATTAATTATGTCTAAAATCTCATGCTTTTATGATCCTTATCTTGGCTCTAATTGCTTTGTCTTGTCCTTCCTTTGTTTCTTTAAGCACATTAGTGAGTATACAGTATGTGTCTAAGTGAAAGTTTCCTATTATAAATACTTTTTTAAAGTTATTACTGGTGCAAGCTTTTTATTTTATAAAAGCAAACAATTGCGATGTCATATCAGGTCATACTTAATGCTTTTGAAGTGTTCATCATAATCCTAATATTTCTTTTAATGGTATTATCTTTTAGTCATATGCCTCGTTGTCTTCCATCATCTCTTGTCTCTAACCCTTGAGCAGAGTCCTTAACGTCTTCATGGTGCAGATGTCTATTTCTATTTTCGAAGCTTTTGAATGGACACTTAAACACCACTAGCAATGATACACCAGGGAGTAATGAGTCCTATGAGAGGACAATCTGTTTTATTTTATTTCATTAATCCTGTCAGTGTTGTAGCTGTTGGCGCTGATGTCTGTGATGTCTGTGTGTATCTGCAGGCCCAGAAGAGGATGACATTCAGATCAATGATGAAAGCTATCATCAACATGCCAAGCCACTACCGCTGTCTGTGTGTCAGTCACCTGCTGGGATGGACGGCTTTCCTCTGCAACATGCTCTTCTTCACTGATTTTATGGGACAGGTATTGTCTAATGAATATCTGCATGTGAATGCCGTACAGGTGTGTTTTATTTTCTGATCAGTGTGGTACACCTGAACCAAACTGCAGTGATTGGTCCCATTGTGTAGCAGATGTCACTTCACACAATACTCATGACATTTTCCAAAACCGCTTATCCTGTCAGGGGTTGTGGGGGCGCTGGAGCCTCTCCCAGCTGGCATTGGGCGACATGGCTTTTCCATTTCACGTCCACATTAAACTGCCAAGTTATCTATTGAGACGGCAACATAAACGTAAAGACTAAGCCAATTTTACAAATGAACATAAGCCATTGAAAGTGAAAGGTATTGAAATGGACTATGGATGATTGAAAAATAATGCATGCATTTTATGTCAGGTTTGGGGACCGCACAATATCCTATGTAAGATAAAGTTGTGTGACTGCAAATTTAGTGCTGAATTAGGAACCATTAGGAAGTTAATTAGCAGGAATTTCAACATGATCTGTTTTGATAATTTAATCATCATTTCAGTCTTATATAAAGCAAAAAAGCCAATAATTCTCAACTTGCAGTGTCTCAAATGTGTGTTCTTTTTAATCTGTGTTATATCATTGTAATCTGAATATCTTTTAAAGGGGTTTTGACTGTTGCGGGAAAATTTGCAGAGAAATGCATAGTCAGTGGCTTCCTGTTGAGTGTTGAAAGGAAAGAAAACATAAAAGCTTGAATAATGAGCATGGCCAACATTAGATATCTGTATCAGTGAAACTTTGTGCTTTGGCTTCTCTACTGAAAACACTGAGCGTATATTTTTAACACTCTCACTTTGACATGATTTCTCTCTTTGTTATTCAGATTGTGTACAATGGAGATCCTTATGCAGATCATAACTCCACAGCTTATGCCACATATGAGAGAGGAGTAGAAGTGGGCTGCTGGGGGCTGTGCATCAACGCTGTGTCCTCTGCTCTCTACTCCTGTAAGTAACTCAAAGAGTATTTGTGTGTTTATTTCACAGCAGCCAGCATCCATTAGTAACACTGTGTCCTGCACTGACATCATTAGCTCAGCTGTGAACGGCAACTTGTCAAGGTTTTGCAGGAAATGGATAACAGTCAGCAATTACCGCCTCCTCCTTTGTTTTATGTTGGGATTACAGGCTGTAGTGTGCCGCAGCCATTCATTAGCTGCACAAAAGAAACACGTTTCCCTAGAGGTATGCTGAGCCAATGTTTCATTCAATTCAAGTAGGTCTGCTACAGCAGTAGCCATGTAAAAATAAGTATAATATGTGAAAGAGAGAAAAATAATGTGCTACATGTAAAGCAAAGTTCAGCCACATAGTGCTGGTATCACTGTACCTCCCACTGTGAAACTGACTCTATTTATAGTCTGGATGCTGAGAAAATGGTCTTTTGATATGTTGTTTTTTTACATTGCTGCTCTGAATTAAAAGATAGGTTGTCGCCCCCTCGTCTGATACTGACGCACAAAGCATAATTTAGTGTCTGTATGAAACACACAGCTGTCTCCAAGGTGAAACAAATTTTAGGTAAGGGCATCCAAACTACTCAGTTAGGTTTAGAAAAAAGATCCCAGTGAAAATGTTACATAAGTGCATTATTTTTTTTTCATAAGAGTGTTCCATCCAGTCCCACCCAACTGTGAGGTAATTGGCTGGAACTATTTGCTTCGATTAGCTAGAACTCATTCAGGTCGAGATGTCAAGTTCAGAGGTGGTTAGGGTTAGGGCAAAGAGGTCAAGGTTAGAGATAGTAGCAGCCAATCATGGCACAACAGGGGAGGGACCAGGCAGAGCACTCTTAGGAAAAAAAGGCAACGAAAGGACATGAACATGACGTACCTACATAAGTTACATAACATTACTTTAAATGAAGTCAATATTCATTTCACATGCTACACCAACAGCTGTCTCCTGGGTGCAAGTCCTGTGTTTGTCTGACCCACCTACCTAGACCTCCTCTGTATGCAGACTTTGTCACTCTTTATAGACTGTTTCACCAGAATTGCATGCTTGGCAACAGCTTGGGTCTATGTTTACTTCCTGTCAGCTGATGTCACTCACATACACTGGAAAACATTGCAACAGGAAATACAAAGGGACCCATTTAGAATTTTTGACGGGTTTACTCAGGTTTTAGCTGAAAGCCCAGTGCGTCTTATGTAGATGCTATAGGGAGCCATGTGCAGCTGTATCAGACGCCGAGGGGTGTGGCAAAGCGTTGGTATTTTATCACCTGGGATTGAGACCAGGCTGTGCATACTGTGGAGGGTTTTATATCTTTTAGAGGTGCAATACCATGAATGACGAAGCAAATTGTCCCATAATCCAAGTAAAATTGATCTCCTCTGTAATAATGTGTGTGTTTTCAGATGTGCAGCGTTTCCTGCTCCCGTACATCGGCCTGAAAGGATTATACTTTATGGGCTACTTTGTATTCGGCATGGGCACCAGCCTGATCGGCCTCTTCCCCAACATCATCGCCACACTGATCCTCTGCAGCGTGTTCGGCGTCATGTCCAGCACGCTCTACACCATCCCGTTTAACCTGATAGCGGAGTATCAGCGAGAAGAGGAGGTACTGGGCTGGCAGGAGAAATGTTTTTCAGTGTTAAGATGCAAATAAGTAGAAGAAAATAACATTTTGGGATGTTGGATTAGGATGTTTCTTCTATTCAGTTTTCAGTGTCAAAATTGGCGCTTCTATTCAGTTTTCTTTAGCGTGCAGTCATTCTTCAGTTTCATGGCTGAATCCTTTTGACTATTCATCAATAACAAGTGTCATTCAACTTATTATCAACAGGTGCGTCAAGGGTGCACATGCAGTCTGAGGCGCCCTCAGACCTGCCTCCCCGAGAACCTCAGAGGGCTCCTTTCCCAACATAAAATCTTATAAATTCAGCAGCCAAAAAAAAGCTATACATTCACAAACATTATACAATTAAACAATATCGACATACATTAATACAAGTCATGTGGGCAATTCTAAAACCATTTCTAAATGAGCCGCAAGGATTTGTCGAATAATTTATTTGTTGTTTAACAGGAAATTACTCGGCTATTATAGTTATTTTTAAGCAAAAACACAAAGCATTTGCTGGTTCTAGGTTTTCCTATGTGAGCATTTGAGTCTTTTCTTTGACATACATGATAATAACCTGAATATCCTTAGTTTTGGGCACTGTTGGTCGGGAAAAACAAGACAGATTAAACAATACTTTGGGCTGAGGGAAATTACCTTTAATCTGCATTTTTCACAGCTTCATGGAAAAGTCAAATAATCAATTAATAAGGAAAATAGTCTGCAGATTAATTGAGAGTGAAAACAACTGCTAGTTGCAGAGCCTTTATTTCTAACCATTTTCTCTTTGTGCTAAATCTGGACATTGACACCTGAATGAAAAGGAACATCGTAACTGATTTGAATAAGTGAGCGCACATTCATATTAAAGACTTGACTTTATATTTTAATTCTGTAATGCGGCCTGACTCAGAAGAGACAGATTAGATATAGAAAGGTTAATTTGAAACCAGACAAGTCATTATTAAGAGTAAAGCTGAGAAAACCCTGAATCCTACACTTCAAATAATAAAACTGAATTGAGTCTGTCACTAGACCTTCCCTGCCTGATAACATCCTCACTTCCAGACTGTATCACATCCTTTCTCTTGTACATTTGAAATCTCAAGCCACATCTGAGATAACCTTGGAGAGCTCCATCCAGAGCCACAGAGGACATTATTGAACTCTTTTAACAGGCTGAATAGTACTCGCTGTGAAGACTTAAATGACATTCATCTGTAGAATTGTTTCAGTGTTTCTTTAATTTGCTTTATTACAACAGGATAACCCACTTAACATCAATACTGATTTCCAGGAAGTTCTGGTATCTAAAAATAAACAATAAAACGGTAAAGCAACTAAAATGTATCAAATAACAGTAATGGCCTATCAGTCAAGTACAAAGTCAGATTCAGAACTCACCTACTTCTTGTAATGCATATACATTACTACATCCCTGTTTCCATTGATTTTGTATGAAGTGTTATATATTTAACATCTGCACTATTTTATGTGTCAGAGTCTTATTTTGTTTTTTACATGAGTGATTTTCTTTGATACATATTTAATTGGCATTGTTGGAGGGAGCCTGAGATCCAAGAATTTTATTGCCAACAAGTGCTTCACTGTAACTGTTGTGCTCATGATATTAAAGGTATACTATGCAAGATTCTCCTAGAAAACAATGTATAAACTGACGCAGAAGTAATGCCTCTGAATCATCACTTATGGCCCACTAGAAGTGTGTAGCTGTGTATTTATCTGCGGAGACTCTGCCCTCTATGGTACTCCCATAGCACTCAGGTGAGGTCAGGGCTTCATTAAAAGGTAGTGACTAGGCACCAGACCGTAAGCAGCAATCATCGAAGAGACACAGCACCACAAAAATGCAAATATAACGACTTGAAATGCCAAACAACTGTAAATCTGGGGTTTGATTTTACTTTCACTTTCAAACAGTAACCATCAATCCTGGATAGTATTCCCTCAAGGAACATACACTTGAACTTGTAGACCTGTGGTAGAGTTTTCCAGGAAATGTGGATCCTACCTGGATGGATGGATGGATGGATGGATGGATGGATAGATAGATAGATAGACAGACAGACAGACAGACAGACAGACAGACAGACAGACTATTTTGCTGGCCTGATAAGTTATGCGAGAGAGTTTTGTTTTGTGTTTCATGGTGAGGGAGTTGTTACCAGGATAAAATCTTGAAGGTGAGAATGGATTTGTGAGAGTCAGTGTGCTGTAAAAAGGACAGACAGGTGTCTATCTCTGTTCCGAGGTATTAAAAAGACTGAACCTGCTCTACTGGCTGACTCTGGGTACTAAGCAGTTGGAAAAAAGGTGATGATGATGATGATGATGATGATGATGATGATGATGATCTCTCTCTGCCCCCACAGCATAGCTCTTTTGTCTTTATAATGTTAAGCTCAAGTGAGGTTTTACCAAATGTTTTGACCAGGTTTTTGACAGCCTGCTGAAATAGTGAAGATTTAGGGGGATTTAAGGGCGTCTAGCAGTGAGGATTGCAGACTGTAACCAGCCGAAGCTTCTACATTAATCAGGAGGTTTTTTTACTGGGAGCTGAATTATTCACAGAAGTCTCTGCCTCTCCAAACTGGTGATTAAAACCAGTAAAAATACTGAATAAAGCAGTTTCACGTCACAAATCAGTGTTTCTCCTATGCTTTGGGCCATTACAGACAGGCCACAACAGACCAGGTGAATAAAACCAGTAAAAACACTGAATAATTCAATTTCATGTTAAAAATCAGTGTTTTTCCGATGCTGTTCGCCACTTCGTAGATGGGCTCTTAGCCTGACACCTGCAGATGTGTGTCAGCCTTTTTGTCTGATAAATTAAGACCCAAATGTTCAAGAGGTTTTTACCGGGAGCGGAATTGTTGGCCGAGGTCACTTCCTCACTTAAACCAGAAAAACATGGAATAAATCAATTTCATATTAAAAATCAGTGTTTTTCCAATGCTGCTTGTTGTGCAGGGGCTGCTAACTATGGTGGCCGATGCAAAATTACGAAAATGTGAATGGCCCAATCTAGAGCCAAAGTTTGGTTTGTTCTGGGCTACTGTAGAAACATGGCGATCTCCATAGGCGAGGACCAGCTCCCTCTGTAGACATAAATGGCTCATTCAATGCTAACAATGACATGATTCTTATTTTCAGGTGATTATACACTAAAAACATATTTATATTCCATTTCTGCCAATATATCCCCCTAAATCCTACACACTGGACGCTGCCATTTAAGAGACCGTATTATAAACTGATGGAAGCGTACACATCTGGAAGAAAAAAAATATTTTCAATTTCAGTTTAAGGACTTTGGATAAAATATACCTTTTGGTTTTGCTGAATTAGTGAGTGAGCACGTTTCAATTGTAATTTTGAACGAAATTGGTTCCATCACAACATTGTATCTTAAAATTAGCAGCGGTAATAATACTGCTGCAGACTGAATCATCCAAACAAGCGTACTCTCTAAAAAAATAAAATACAACATGTTCTCCTGAGACAGACGCTCAAAAATAATTTGCTGGTAGAAAAACACTTTTGTTTGTTTTGACGTGCCCTGGCATGCTCAGTCAATACCTCATTACGTTGAATCAAGTGAGCTGGTGATGAAATTCAGCATCAAATGTTTGAGGTGGCTGAAGAGAGCTTTAGTTATCATGAAAACACAGATCTAATAGAAAACAAAAATATGAGGTTGTCTCTTGATAGTTCTCAGAGCTCAATCTTTTGACCCAACTATTTATTGCTTTCTGCCCCGGACATTTCCTGTCATACAGGAATTGATGACATCTAATATTGCTCTCTTTTTTCCCCTCCTTCCTTCCTCCTCTCCAGGAACTCATGAAGCTGGGAGGAAGCAATGGAAGTCAGCGAGGCACCGGGGTGGACTGTGCCGCCCTCACCTGCATGGTCCAGCTGGCTCAGATCATCGTGGGTGCAGGTCTCGGCGCTCTGGTCAACATGGCAGGAAGTGTAATCGTGGTGGTTCTCTCGGCCTCGACCGTGTCCCTGCTCGGCTGCATCTTCATTGCTCTCTTTATTAGAAATGTGGACTAATTCTGCTTATATAAAAGTATTTTAATGATATTGTTTTAATAAATACAGATTCTTTATTATATCCTGAACATGCCTTTGATTCATGACTCTTTGTGGGGTTCATCATAGTTTTCATGTGGGGGTGGCACAGACATAAGGAGCGTTCCCAGGGTCCCAGAGTTGCCCAGCTTAATAGCTTAATATCCTGTCAATATGATACAATAAGGAGACTTTACAAAGGGTTTTATGTTCTCAGCAATGTTTGTCCCTAAATGTTTGATATATGTTTCCCTGGGTCGGTATGTTAAAATCACCCACCTACAGCTTATAGCCTACTGATTACACCCTGAAACCTCCGTCCTCAGATTTGTGGGCAAGACAGTTTTCTTGGCTGTAGACTTTGAGATCTCCACATTGGCTGAACAGAGACATAGTACCCCTGGCCACATTGGGTTGTCTAGTTCAGTGTCTTTTTCTTGTGTTGTGTGGTGCAGGAGGCCAAATATAGTTTGACATTTTGGAACATGCACTTATTTGCCATCTTACAGAGAGCTGCACCCTTGAGTTAGATGGGAAAATCAATACCACTCTCCATGTCAAGCGGTGGAAGAAGTATTTAGATGCTACCTCTAGTGCACCTAGCATCACTAAGCTAGCTGCATAGATGTCATGATGTCACCTATTGGTTTGTGGACTGCCATTCTGAAGGCTCGAGTTCAGCATTTCGGTTGTCACCATCTTGGTGTTTGGAGCCAGTCGTCACCACATTTGTACCACAGGATGAAGTTGTGGAGGAGTGAGGAATGAATCTGACTGCAAAGCCAAGGACACTATCAGCAGATGTCACTCAAAGCAGCAATGCCCTTAAATATGCTTGATTTTAAACCTTAATAAAATGTAAACAGGAGTGTTATATAGAAATTCACCCCCGTCATGAAGGGGGAAATCAGCTTTGGAGACCAAAACCATTTTGTCAGGCTTTAAATATATTTATTTCTGCTGTGAAACTGGACATTTTAACATGGGGGTCTATGGGGATTGACTGGCTTCTAGAGTCAGCCTCAAGTGGCCATTCAAGGAACTGCAGTTTTTAGCACTTTTGCATTTGCTTCATTTTTCAGCCCTGCAGGTTGGCGCTTGGTTAGGTGACATTACTGTTCAGTTGAGAAGGATGCCATTAATGTCTACATCTTGTGCAACTACGAACACGTGCCTCCCATCCATGAGTAGATGCATGCTTCCTTCTGCATGGTGATATGGTTGGCATGTGCAGGTTAGTAGGCAGAAAATAGTTCTTGCACAAAACTGCTCTGTGGATTATCTTGAGTAACTGGACATGATTTCTGGAAAGAGACAATGCTGTTGAGTTTTTCAAATGCATTGGGGCTTTGAGCACCACAAGCTGAGTGCCATCTAGTTCCATTATACTGGAGAGAAGGCAGATGTCTCTACAGCCGATATCTACACTACACAATAACACTCGGCAACTCGCACCAAAACAATCTAGACTGATAAATAGCACTACAGGTAAGAGGAAAAATATGTATATTTCATTTTGGGGTGAGCTGTCCCTTTAAGACTTTACGTACAGAATATGATGCAATTCATTATTACTGATTAGACTAGCAAATAGAAAACTGTTCATACATTAATTCATCAGTAGTATCAAACCATATATTTCTCTGATAATACTTGCATACATTTCCTTAAGTTATATTTTGGAAGCAGAACTTTTACTGACAGAGTATTTTTTACAGTGTGGTTTTGCTACTTTTACTCAAGTTAAGGGGCTGAGCACTTCTTCCAACACTGAAAACTAAAATTGCAAGATTTTTATTTATGAGGGAGAAAAAATACATGTTTTTCTAAGATTTATTTTATTAGGGAAGTAATCTTTTTGGGGGGACACCTCGGAAACAAATTATGCAAAGCGTGTTTTGGAAGCAGAACTTTTACTAGTTTTTCTTTACAAAAGTAATAAGCCTGAGCACTTCTTCCAACACTGAAAAGAAAGGCACTAGAAACAAATTACTATTTAAAGCAGAGTATTTTTATGTCTCAAAACATATATGCATGTCTTTAGGATGTCTTTAAACCTAAGCTGGCTCCTGGCAGGAAATGATTTGCAATAAGATAATAAAATTGTGTAGTTGTGTAGTGACAAATGCTTCATCATTCTCTGTCAGCCATTTATGTTTTTTCACTGCATCACGAGGGATAGTCTGTTCTGCAAACTGGAACTGTGAACTGGTTTTATAATAAAATATATGTGTAATGTAAAGCCACATAAATATTTCTGCCATCTTTTTTTTTAGGTGTTCTGTGTTTATGACTTTGAATCTGGTACTTAAAAAAACAGTCTTTATTGATTGAAAAAAAAAAACAAAAAAAAAAACAGAAATTGTGGTGTCCAACAAAATCCGTCTAAACATCTTTGAAATCTGTTTCCTAGACATACAAAACACATCTTTGGCTCCTCTCCAGCACCCTGGGAGATCAATGGAGACATAAGCTCGTCTCTCGAGGAACACACAGTATTGCATTGGAATTTCTCATTGTGATTTTGATTCAAGTCACTTTTCTTCCTCTCAAAGGGAATTTTTACAAGCAAAAGAAATGTGTCTGTGTGTGTGTGTGTGTGTGTGTGTGTGTGTGTCTGTGTCTGTGTCTGTGTGTTTGTGTGTGGGTGGGTATCTCTGCGTGGCCTTTGAGACTCAGTGACATTTCTATGTAACAGTCTAATTAACAGTCATAGAAAGGTGTCAGATCTAGAGCCTGTAAAATGATCTTAAGGCAGGTATTAAGACCTCAGTATTGTTGTCATCTTATCTTTAACATAAGACACTGCTATGACAGAGAACAATCGTCATTGATATCCTGCATAATAGATACCACAGAAAGTGTGGTTCTGCAGATAAAGCACAACATAGTGCATAACCTGCTGCAGACTGCTCACTCTCTCTGTGCCAGAAAAGAGCTACCAGACAGAGAGTAATGATGACCACTGAGCTCCAATAGTGCAGCCAATATGAACTGGCTTAATGATGCATGATACAAGCCCCACCACTGGCGCTGAGAAAACGGGGGAAAAAAAAAGTTTGATGAAATGTTAAGTTCCAAGCAGGGTTATATTGTAGACCTGGGCAATATATTGATATTTAGGCTATCGATATTATGATATAGATATAGATATTATTTTAGATTTTGGATTAGGGATGTCAGTTTTGGTTAATTTTGCCGATAGCCCGGCACTCATCAACTGGTGTCTAAAGCCCTTTTTAGATAGGAATTGTGCAAATTTGCAGGAAAGCCCAATCTTTCTTTTTTCAGCATTGGCAGTATAAAAACAAAATCGGGGAGTGCGGCAAAATGCCGCCTACCTACTTTTGTTTATACAGAATGTGCCTTTTTCGGGGCAAGGGGGGGCGTGAGCAAACGTGTAGCTCAGCGTGTGACGTAACCAGTGACGTTGGAGGGAAGCCACGGCTGGTCAGTCCTTCAGCAATTCTCTCATAAGGGGGCGATCACACACAGAAGCGCGATGCCAGTAAAACAATTGTTTTCCTATGATACGGCGCGTCTGACTGGCGTTCAAGCGTCTTTTTGGACGGGCGTTTTTCCGCCGTCTTTTTAGATGCACGTTTTTATAGACGCTTCTTTTTAGATGCGCATAGACGCTGAAAAGTTAAAATATTTAAAATAAAATATTTTCAAATTTTTGAGTGTCAGACGCCAGTAGCACCATTTGTCATTGTCATCACTGGCCCAGGCAGCCAATCAAATCCTCCTTCCTGTTTTGTTGTGGCAGTTACGGCAGTTTGGTCAGTTACGGCAGTTTACAGCAGTTATAAGCGACAGACAAGACAATAGGTTCGTTCGAGATGAGCCAGTCCTGCGCAGATTCGATCACCGGCGATCGGTGCACAATGGATGCCGGTTAGTTTTGTGTCCGACTTCACCCCGACTTGCTCTGACGTATTACAAAAGTGGATGGCGATACAACCGAGAGCGAGGCGGCCGCAGTTTTTAGAGCCAGGCGGTGCAGTTGGTGGAGAGCAACTGCAGCTCTCACCTGATCTGACAGCTGATTGGTTTAGATGTTGACTCAACAAGATGACGTTTTGGTTTAGATGTCGACTCAACAAGATGACGTTTCATATAAACTCTCTGTTTGTGATGAATGGGAGAGAGTTTGATTTTATTTGTCAGATTTGACGGTTTTATGTGTTAACAGAAAACGTGTGGCTGATGGTGACATTTAATTGAGATTCATATCACAGATCATAAACTGCACATAGACTATTGTATGTTAATACTTAACTGTTTTAATTATTGAAGTATTTACTTAATTTACGTACTTTGTAAGGGAAGGCAAAGAGGCTCCAAGGAGCAGAGCGACGGTTGGGAACCCACCTTGCATCCTGCAGCGCGCCTCTGACTGGGAGCTGAGTGTGGACCTAAAGAGGAAGCTTGTCTTCCCACAGGACGTTGCAGTGACCTCCCTCCGGCCAGACATGTTCCTGCTATCCAGGAGCACCAAAACCCTCATAGTCGCCGAACTAACGGTGCCCTGGGAGGAGAAGCTAGCCACATCCCACAAGCAGAAAAAAGCTAAGTACCAGGACTTGATCAACGAGGCGGTCATTAAAGGGTGGCATGCAACCATTTTCCCCATCGAAGTTGGCTGCCGCGGGTTCCCAGCAAAATCGGTGCATTACTTTCTTCAGAGGGTTGGTCTGGAGCCCAAACAGCTGAAGGAAGCCACAAGGGACATTGCCTCGGCAGCCGAGACCAGCTCAAGATGGCTGTGGTTGAAAAGAGCCCACAGTTGGAACCCCTCTGCAGGTGAAGGCTAACCAGTCTTCGCTGCCCCACTCAGGCGAGGTGTACAGGTTAAGGGGCGAAACACCTGTGAACCTGAGCAACCTGCTGACGATGTAGAGGGGCTCTCAACATTGTGGATGCTCCAAGGGACACCATCATGGAAGAAACCAGCATTTAAGTTTGTGTAGTTCCTGCAGTTGCAGCTTGTAGCAAAGCATCTTTGATGTTTACTTCACCTTAGCAGCGCAAAGATTA